GCTACCACCTCAGCAAGCAGTCAGTTCCTCCAGAGTCCTCTCAATCATGTAATTAGTTGATCCAGGTGTTTTGAACCAAAAGCAGGTCTAAGAGTAGCAGGTCTAAGAGTTGCAGGATAGCGGCCCTCAGGACCTGGATTTTCCCACTGCTGGTCTATAGATGTGACCAATCGTGCTTTTACTGTCCCTGTTCATTGCCATCATCAGTAATAAATCTGTTGGGTTGATAAAAACCTTTTGATCATCTTAATGTTCTTGCCTCCCAGATAAATGGCTGACTCTCTAACATACATACCTGTGATCCTGGAGTTCTTTGAGGAGAAGCTTCCTGTTCTCTGGTAGAGCTGATTGCTTCTCTTTGTCCTGCAGCCAGTCACTCAGATCTCCGTGCTGCTTCTCTAGGCTGAGATTAGATCAAACCCATCATTTCTCAGCTCTTTTAAACAGCATGGCTCTCCATGAGGAATGTCTAGGAGGTTCTTACCCATTCAAGTCATCCAGCAGGGACTCCATCTGCTGTTGGCGGTTCTGGCAGTGGGTCCTGAATGTAGCCACCTCCTCCTGCTGCTCCTTCAGCCAGTCCATTAACTCTGAGAGCTGCTGAGGAGGAACCTGCTGCCTTGCTCTCTCCAGCTCATCACTTAGCCGGCTCAGACGTCTTTCTGTATCTTCTGACTTGAGGAAACCCTGGTCCATGTGAGAGGAGAGGTTTGAGCTGACCAGCCACTCAACTTTGCAGCAGTCAGTCAGTAACCTGTGTAATTCTTACTGTAAGTCTTTGCACGGATGTTTCCACATCTGTTCTGCTCTCTGGGCTCTCAAAGCACTCGTTGACAGACAGCTGTAAATCCTGGAACCATTCCTCAAATAGTTCCCTTTCATCTGGGGAGGAAGGATTTCAGAAGTTATCATCCAGCCTGATGTGTCTCTTATCATGATCTAGGCTCTGATGTCTGGTCTGATTAGTGATTTCACCTGCCTAGCTCCGCCTAGTTCCAATAGCGCTCATCTGATCCCCCTGCTTCAGCCTCTATTTAACCAGCCTTCTGACCAGTCATCAGTGCCAGATCACCCGAGGTAAGAGGGTTTCCAGCATTCTGATTCCTGACTTCCTGCCTGTTTGCCTGACTTGATTTGTCCCTGTTTCTGAGCCGGCCTGATCCCTGTTTGTCTGCCTGCCCAACGCCTAATGGCCTGGTTCTCCTCCTGCAGCAGTGTGTCGCAGTGAGCCTGTCGCCAATATTTTAGATTTATGCCCAATATTGAAGCGTGGTCTGCGCTATGTTATTCCGCGTCAAGGCTCCAGAGGGCCAATCAAGAACTAGCTGTGGGTCTAGATACAGCCAAGGCGGTGAGGAAGTGGGGGCAAGTTTGTGCGACAACGGAGGGACATGAGGGCCAAAAAGAGCGGGGATCCAGGTGGAAAAAGGGTCCCAGCATTCTCGCGCACCTCGCTTTTCTAGCTGGTCCATCTTCACCAGTCGTTTTCCACAATGGCGATCAGACAAACAAAACAAGACGGTAAGGTACCAAAGAAGAAATACACATAGTGTAGAGCGGATGTAGAATTTTTTGGGGGGGGGCACATTTGTGTTCACTGCAACACACATGCAGACGACTTGGTTTTTGAGTATAAATCAGCATAACCTGGAACTGTTTCTCATCCTCGTCCTGGATGTCCCTCTGGTGCTTCTTCAGACCTCTAACCTCCTGGCTCTGACTACTGAGCACCAGACAGTCATGTAGGTGGTTGGAAGCTGCCAATTCCCCATCAGCTTCTTATATTAGCGATAGGAATGAGTCTATGCATCAGTTCCTGTTTCTGTGCATCAGCATCACCCCTTAGACGTATGTAAAAACTGACCGTTGATGACCTTGTCGAGGCCTTTGTCCCTCTCCTCCCTCTTCATGTGGATCAACTCTTTGGTGTGGGCAATAGCCGCTGTCAGCCTGCTGCAGTCTGCAGATAGCTCCTCCAGCACCAGTGGACTGGCTACACTGGACACCAAGCCCACCTCCTTCAGCACGGCCTCAGCCTGCTCCTCCTGTGAGTTCAGGTCGGCACAGAGGTCCTGGGAAGCAGTGGAAGGTCGTGTTAATCAGTGAACCCACAGTATTTCAGAGGCTATTCTGACACCAAGCTCTGCACCTGTATCTGAGCTTCTGCTTTTGCATTAGTCCTGCTGAGACTCTTCTGAATATTATCCACAGCCGTCTGACACTCCTCTATCTTCTCAGACAGATGTTTTTTCACAGCTATGATTTCCTCAAAAACATCTGTGCAGTCGGTAAACAGTTCCTTCACCTGCTCCATTCTCTTCTTCAGCTGGGTCTCCATCACCTGGACATTTAGAGGAATACATAGCAAACAACTAAAAAACATCCCTGCTATTGAAAACCTGAACTTTGTGGTGTTTTTTTTTACCTGGAGTTCCAAAGGAGCCTCCTGACTCTGGAGCATCTGCTGAATTTCAGTTGACTTCTTGTGAAAATGTTGGATATTCTCTTCATTTGAGTGAATCTCATCCTGCAAGCCAGAAGCATTTTCCTGAATAACATCTCCTGTTGTTGGACAGTCTTTCTCTAAGACTCACAGACTCAGACTTACCCTAAAGGCAAGAACTTGTTGTTCGTTGTTGAAGGGATTTCCTTCAGCAAACAAGGCAAGTTTAGCTCCAGCCCAGCTGTCCACCTCTCCTCCTAACATCAGCTGCTTCTCCCAGAGTTCCAGCCCCACCCGGAGGTTATCCAAATAGGCATCCGTCTTTTCAGTTACCTGCGTAAACATCAGGATATTGATTTTTACTGGGGTTCAATGGGGAGTCGCTGATGTACTAATGATTTATTGAGTAAATATCTATTTATGTTACTTCTGCTGCAACACCCTGTAATTTATGTTCCATTTTTAAAAATCTATAGACTTATGCAAATTAAATTCTAATTCTTTATGGTCTTTCTATAAGCTGTGTTATTATTTTTGGATATTTAGGACTGTCTTCTCATGTGCTAGTCTTCTTTGCAAACTCTAAAGATAGCTTCTGTCCAAACTTTATTTATCATTTTATAGTAAAACCCATCTGTATATATACTATTGTACATAACTGTGAAAACCCTTTTTATATTAATATCCACCTGCATATTATATTCGGTACATATCCAGCTGTAAATTTGGTTCATAACACTAGTGATCTATATATTATATTCAATATTTATAACTTTATTCATCTCTATACTCATTCAGGGCAAAAGTACTCACTTTCTGTACTTGAGTAAAAGTACAGATACTTATGTTAAAAAAATAATCTGGTAAAA